TCATCTATAAAACACTCCTAAAAATGCCAACCTCTGGCTGCTGTCTGGATCGGAAGTATGCACCTGATGCGAGTGCGGGGTGGCTGGCGACGCAGCTGCCGGTACTGCTGTTACTAAAGGGAACTCGTCAGCGCCGAGTCCGGGACCCAGGAAGCGCCGAGCGGCTTTAGGAAGAGAGGCCTAGAGCTGCCGCCTGGGTTCTCCGCGCTCGAAGGCGCAGCAACCCGAGTTAAGCCGGGACCCCCGGGCCGGGAGGCGTGGCCACCGCAGCGCCGGCAGCGGAAGCAGGCGGGGCGAGGCAGCCGTGGGAGTCGAGGGCGCAGAGCCGGGCGGGCCTTCCTGGGCGCGAACCAGCCGTGGAGATGTCAACGTCAAAGCCGGCGCGGAACGAGAAGGGAGGAAATCCTGGATCCCCGCGCCGGGGACAGCCCCGGGCCGGGGCGGCGCGGCGTCCCTTTGCCCTGGGCTCTGCCGCCTCCTGCCCAGGCCAGCAGATGCCCTGCCGGGGGACGGATAGGGGGATGGAGATTGGGGACGTGTGGGCCGGGATGACTCCGGTTGAGACAGTCTCTTTGTCACCCTCCGTAGAGTGCTGTGGCGTCACAGCTCACGGCAACCTCCAACTCTTGCGATTCTCTTGCCTCAGCCTCCCAAGTAGCTGGGACTACAGGCGCCCGCCACAACGCCCGGCTATGTTTTTTAGAGATGAGGTCTCGCTCTGGCTCAGGTTAGTCTCGAACTCGTGAGCTCAGGCAATCCTCCTGCTTCCGTCTCCCAGAATGCTGGGATTACAGGCATGAGACCCCGCGCCCGGCTTCTACCTACTTACTTTTTGCAAGTTTTCTACAATGGATATGTGTATTCAAGGGGTCAGGAAATAAACTCAAAATGAAACCATTTCTGGCTGCTTCAGACAGTATGGTGAGTGTAGCAGGGGCTAAAAATTAGCTTATGGTGCCTAAGAGAACAACCAAAAGGAGCACTCTGGATGCTGATTAAGGGAAATTGG